ACAGAATCAATGGTGGACCTCGAGTTACTGTATAGTGTACTATGTTCCATAATATGGTGGTAATAAAAACGTTAGCCTGACAGGCATCATTCTAAGTGATTTGCATAGAGTTGGTTAATGTTGAAGGAAATACCTATGAGGTAAATGCCATTACTAGCTACTTAGAGATGAAGATATTGAAGCACAGTGTCTACCATTTCTAAATTTCATCAAGGTTTCAAATGGCACGTGTGTCTTTTGTTGCGCTTGTACCAAGTTGCTTTGTCACTATAGTGTATTTTGTAGTTTATTTTAAGGTCAGGTATTGTTATCCCCTCTAGTGTTCTTTCTCCGTTGATGTTTTTGACTATTTGTGGTCATTTGCATTCCCTTATGAATTCTTGAACTGTTTTATTTTTCTAGCTGGTTCTATGTAGAATGGCATTGCAGTTTTGACGGGAGTTACATTGAACAAACAGGTTGCTTTTGGTAAATACAACTCTTTCTACAATATGTATTTTGTCGATCTAGGAGCATAGAATATCTTTTCACCATCTAATATCTTCTTTGGTTTTCTTCTTCAATGTCTACGAGTAGAGATTTCTCACTGCTTTGGTTAGGTTTATCCCTAGGTAATGCCCCCCCCTTTTGTTGTTGTTATTGAAAGTAGATTCCTCTCTTATATAGTACATACCAACCACAGTTTCCCCTCCCTTTACTTTTCCCAGTACTCCTTCTTCTCTTTCCCAGATCCACTGCCCCTCTGTTTCCTCTTCAGAAAAGATCAGGCTTCCAAGAGACCACAGTCAAACAGGACTAAACAAGATGCAGGAAGATAAGACAAAATCCCTCATATCAAGACTGGACAAGGCAACCTAATAGGAGGAAAAGAGTCTCAGGAGCAGGCAAAAGGGTCAAAGATACACTTGCTTCCACTATTCAGAGTCTCATAAGTACACCAAGCTAAGAGCCATAACATACAGGCAGAGGACCTGGTCCAGAAGGACCCATGCTTGCCATTTCAGGCTCTGTGAGTCCATGTGAGTCCTTCATAGTTGGTTTGGTGGGATGTGTTCTCCTGGTGTCCTCCAGCCCCTGTGACTCCTACAGTCCTCCAAGAGGAGTGGCTCTTTCTCGGATAATATCAGGCTGTTGTGGGCTCTCTGCACCTGCTCCTATCTGCTACCAGAGGAAGCCTCTTTTTCCTTCAGCTACTGTGAAGGAGATAGTTTTCTTAATTTCTTTCTTTGTGAATTAATTATTTGTATAGATAAAAGCTACTGATTTTGTGTCTTGCAATTCTACTGAAATTGTTTATTAGACTTAAGAGATTTCTGGTGAGTTCTATGGGACCTTTTACGTGTAATTAATGTGTGATATTAAGATAATTGAATTTTTTCCTTTTTAATTTTATATCTTTTATGTCTTTCTCATGTCTTATTGTTCTAAGGCTTTAAATATTATACTGAGTAAGAAAGGCATCCTTGTCTTGTTCTGGACTTGAGCAGAAATGCTGTCAGTTTTTCCTCTGTTTAATATAATGTTGGCTATAGGTCTGTCATATACGGCCCTTAATATTTTGATGTATGGTCCATCTGGTTCTAATTTTTCCAGGGCTTTTATTATGAAAGTATATTGATTTTTGTCAAGTGCCTTTTCCATGTCTATGAAGATGATCATATGATTTTCATACTTAAGTTTATTTATAATGATGTATTATATCTATTGCTTTGTGTACATTGGAACAACCTTGCATCTCTGGGATAAAACCCATTTGGTCTTGACATATATTCTTAATATGCTCACAAATTTGATGTGTGAGTATTTTCTTGAGAATTTTTGTATCCATATTCGATAAGAAAAGTCTTGACTTTTGATTCGTCATTTTCTTTTTTATTTGTATTCTCTGGTTTTGGTATCAGGAAGTACTGGCTTCAAAGAATGAATTTGGTAGTGTTCCTTCTCTTTAAGAGAAGTGTTGATCCTAAATCTCCCTTAAATGCCTAATAGACTTCGTCAGTAAATTTATACCTAGCCGTCAGGGAAATATGGATTAATACAAGTTTGAGATACCATTTCTCTCTAGTCAGAATGGCTAGCATCAGGTAGACGGACAACTCGTGCTAGCAAGACCGTGGGGGAAAACGAGGGTCTACCACTGATGGTGGTAGTGGGAACTACTCCAGTCATTATAGAAATTTTTGTGGAAATGTCTCAAAATATTAAACATAGAAATACCATTTGACATCTAAAGGCCTCCATGTTCGATGGCAGAGATGTTTCACACATCTGGGTTTGTTAGTGCTCAACTCACAATAGCAAGCAAACTGAACAATATGTGCCCATCCACGAATGAATAACACACAAAGTGAAAACACACAAAGTAAGTTTACTTCGCTCTAAAGAAATACGGAATTCTGAAGTTCTCAGGGAAATCGATGGGTCTGGCTAATATTATATTAAGTGAGATGGCCCTAACTTAGAGAGACAAAAAAAAAAAGTGTATTTTCTCTCATATACAAATCCTAGATTGTAACTTATATAAATGGGAGTTAATGTGGCCAACTCTCACCCAAACTAGAAATGAAATCAAGAAAGGCTAAAAGGAGAGGAAGCAAAGGACAGATCATGGGAGATATGGTAATATGAAAGCAGAATGGAGACAAAGGCATGGGGAAGAGCTGTGTGGGATAATCAACTAAAAGAAATTGTGTTTAAAGATTTCATTACAACATCTAATCCATAGTGTGCTGATTTTAAAGGTTTTCCATAAAAATATATTCCTATAGGCTTAAGCACAAGGGTCAAGAGAATGAGAGCACTAAGAGGAAAGATAAAGCATACCTGTGAACATGGGAGTAGGCTTCCCAAAGATAAATATCTGTGAATATGGAAGTGTACAGCTAGAAGTATTCTCTGTCTCTCTGGTCCCCCTGGGCCAGTTTCTCTCTGCCCACCTGTTCCCAAATAACCAGAGGCTTGATATCAGTTACAGCTGTCTGGCCATTGGCTTAGGCTTCTTACTGGATGGCTCTAACTATAAATTAACCCATTTCTATTAGTTCATATTTTACCATGAGGCTCACGATTTCTTACCTCATATCCAGCTACCCTGGCAGCTACATGGAGTCTTCATGACTTTGCTGTCTCTCTCTCTCTGTGTATCTTTGTTTGTAATTCCTGCCTAGCTATATTTTACCTGTTCATTGGCCAAAACAGCTTTATTCATCAACCAATAAAAGCAACACATATTCACAGCATACAGAAGGACATCCCACATAATCTCCCCTTTTCTGTCTAAATAAAGGTTTTAACTTTAACATAGTAAAATTACATATAACAAAACAGTTACCAAGCAAGAATTATTATAACATTTATTCTATTTGTATTAGGCAAAATTAAATACTCTATCATCTATCCTATCTTTGTGAATCTAAGGTTTTATATCTAATTTATCTTTTATCATTACTAAGGAAAACTATGCAGTTTTCAACTACATCAAAAACCCCAGAAGAATATAATATTACCTAAGTAAACAGGAAGAGCACTAAAAGAAACTTCAAACACTCTAGAACTAACAGAAACGTCTTCTTGCCTAGACAGTTACCCAAAGTTCTTTTGTAACATTGGGAAATTCTTCTGCAGCCTACAGGCCCATAGTATCTGGCAGACTTTTCAGTGAAGCAGGAAATTTGGAGATCTGCTCTGCCTTGTACTGACAAAGCTCATCTGTCGCTTTCTTCTGTGTCCTGCAGAATGTCTGGCAGTTTCTTCTGTGAAGGAGGAATCCTGAAAGATTTGGCAAGTTTAGCAGTCACTTTTCTGTGGGTCCTACATGTCCAGTTGATACGAGATATCATCAAAAACTCAGAAGCAGGGGTCTGGAGACAGGAACCACAGTTGAGGGAACAAAGGACTGCTGCTTTCTGCCACATTCTCCACAGCTTGCTCAGCCTGCTCTGGTGTAGACTCCAGGACCATCCAAGGTGGGAGGACAGGCCAATCTGATGGAGGCAGTCCCTAAACCTTTAATTCCAGCACTCAGGAGGCAGGCAGATAGATCTCTGTGAGTCTGAGGTCAACTTAATCTACAGAGTGAGTTCTGGGACAGTCAGAGCTATATAGTGAGACCCTATCTCAAACAAACAGACAAAAAAAAAGAACCACCCCAAAAACAAAAACAAAAGACAAAACAAACAAACCCCCCCAACAAACCGCTGGAGACATCACTGTTATTTCAGGCACACCATTTTCCTGAGAACAACAAAAATGACTGTGAAAACAGCTTGTATGTTAGAGCAGCATATGCTAAGCTGGCAATGGTTATCCTTAATCTCAATCACATGGTGCTGTTGAGGAAGTGACCTATGATGGGGCTGATAGGAGGGGCCCTTTGAAAACATGATACAATGTGTGATAGCCCCTTTCCACGTTTGTAGAGCCTAGAGAGTAATGCCTACAAGTGGATGGGGGAACTTCAGTCCTGACTAGGGCCAGCGGACATGTCAAATGCCAAGAAAGTCTATCTACCTTCTCACCATGTAGGTAGCTATGCATGTAGGTAAACTCATGCATGTACAAGTGCACACACTCACATGAACATGTACATGCCACACCGACAAACATACACAAAGGTACAGGTGATTAATTTTGCTTTAATCTCAAGAAAACCTGGACATCTGTTAGGATGGCATCTGATTTAGTAAAAAAAAAAACTCAGTTATTTTAAGTTTTTTTTTAAACAGAAAATACGCTTTCTATTGTCTGCAGACAGCTCAGATACCACACAAGAATTGACTTTTAATAGCGAGATTGCTCTGCTTCTTCCAGTAAGGTGACCGGTTCAGACATTTCCATCTCCCTAATTCAGTTTTCTGATCTAGAAAATGGAGTTGCCACCTTCCTCAACGGTGCTTTTCTGGCAGCTCTGAATTAGCATATGTAAAGAACTTCTTGGCTAGGCAAGTTGGTTCTCCAGTAACTGTCTTGGCACTGAATAATTTGTTATTGTGGCTACTCACCTCTTAATGAAGCAAATTCCCTCGAGTGAACTTTCACCTCCCATCTTCTCGAACCATTTAGCTCCTTTAGATAAGAGTTTTGGCTACTGAAACCACAGAGTTCCGTGGCTACGAGATAGTGGAGGTATTCCTGCCTCCTACCGCCCCCACGCACTGACTGCAACATCCGACCGCTGCTGCAAGCAATTTACCAGAGCTGCTTGTCTTCCTAGGACACAGCGGTGTTTACCATACAGAGCACCAGGTTATGCGACGTTCGGGTGAGTTTATGTGGCTTCTAGTGAAGTAGAGGTCAGAACTCAATGAAGTAAAATCACTTGCTCTCCTCATTCTTTGAAAGACTGAAAATGAGGCATGCTGGTCTGAGGCAGGGGGCGTCACTAAAGTGCTCACCAACATGGAGCTGAAGCCTGGCCTGCTAAGGGTGCTTGCTCTGTAAACGCTGCCGGCCGCTCAGGGCTCAGTTTTGCTAGTGGAGCAAATTCTCGGTAAACAATATCTCATTCTCTCTCTCCAGAAACCCGAGGTGTGAGACGAGAAAAATCCCTCAGCCCGGAGGTCAGTGGTGACCTTTCCACCGAGGCTGTTTACCGAAGCCAGCAGCCTGGGGTGGGCGAGCAGACAGGGTGGGAATTCCCTCCCGAGCCCTGAGCATGCCTCACTGCCTGCTCAGGGTTTCTGTTGGGCTGAAACTACCCTTCGCGAAGCAGCCAGAGAAGGGGGGACTCCGCTGTTCTGTTTCCCCCCACTTCGTTTTGAAAAGTGAAACTCTCAGACTAGCTTTCCTAAATCGCAACCAAGCCAAAGCCTTTCTGATGGGGCAAGCACAGGAGAACACACCCAGGGGCACGCTAACTTTGGCTGTTGTCTTCCTGGGCTGCAGAACCCCAGCAGAACAGGTTCCCAGGCCGCCTGGGACAGCTGGAAGGCAGCTTTGCTTTCCTTTGAATTTATCGGCTGACTCCTCCTTCCTCCCCGCCTCAGCCTTGATTTATGGTTGTACAGACTCGGTGGGGTGGCTTTGCTCCAACGTTATTTCTCTCTTCAGAAATAAACAGGGATTTTTACAGCTTCATAACCGTCCCTAAATTTGTTTGTTCTTCCCTCTGCACAGCGTGGGCCATGTTTGTTCCCTGGAAAAGTCGCTTCTCTAATCATTTTCACATTTCAACAGCTTTTGTTTCTTCTTCTTTCTTGAAGGTTTATAAAAACGCGGATGACACATTTGCTTCAGGTGAAATGATACCTTAAACGTTTTCCCTGGCACTCGCTGGGTGTCTGGGTGGCTAGAGGCCCTGTTGTCTTTGCTTAGAGTGCAATGTGCAGAAATCTGAAAACCCTAAAACACACTCGTGCCTTCTGTCAGGCTGTGCCAGCCTTGTTCTCCCACAGGGTGCCTGGTCTTCACGTATTATTTATGCTCCGGGGCAGCTCCCTTGACTCTGGCTGCTCTGTCCCCCTTCTCCAGCCGGCAAACATCTGCTTAATCTTCAAGGCCCAGTTCATATGCATGCATATTTATGAGGCCTTCCCAAATTCCCCTAACTGAACTCACACATTCCCTCTCAGCCTTCAGGAAGGAGCTTGCACACATTCTCTCAGTGTCTGTTCCTATTCACATTCCAGCCTCCGACATCATACCTGTCGTATAAGGTCTTTACAAGTCTCATCTGAAGTTGCTTCCTTCTACCTAGCGTACTCTGGCCTGGAAGATGGACATGGGAGACTTTATTCATGTGATTTTAAGTGGTACCCATTCTGGGAACTACTGGAGGTTATGAGGGTGACAGTGAGCTCCTGTGTTGTGTAGAAGACCATAGAGATTTGATACAAGTTTAGGGGTGACCAAGATTGAAATGGATGGGGCTGAGGCTTCAGTTGTGTTCAATTTCAGTCACCCTTCCAGAACAAAAGGGGAATCTTGGGTATCTCCTAGCTTGGGTATCAGGTGGATGAATTGCCTGGAACCTTTCCTTGTTGTCATGCCCCCCAGCACACATACATATTAGGTACGCATGGGCCAATGCCTGAATTTGGCATGCTTCCTATTTTGTTTAGGATTGAACCGGTGCTCATTTTAGGTCATGCCCGTTCCACCTCTTGTACTGGCCTCACCTGGATTCTGCTAGACCTGAGGATGTTTCAGTGTGCCTCTGAGACAATCCCACTTCTGCACACTTTTCCCAGAAGTAGGGTAGCAACGAGTACCTGGAACTGAGGGCAAAAGCCCCTCTTCTAAGACTCCAACGATATAGTAAAGACTCTAGGACCCCACACCTTATTCATTCATCCAGATCACTTCTCTGTGAACCTAATGTGTGCTGTGGATTATGGAGGTGCTGTCGAGACTAAGGTGACTTCATAACATTGCTGTTTTTCAAGAATTCTAGACTCACTGCAGGAGGTGGGTATTAGAGAAAGCTAAAAGGCAGGCCTGAGGAAAGTCTGAATCCCAGTGTGATCCAAGGCCTTCCTCTGTCTGCTCTTGGCTTGTTCATCTCCTTGTTCTGTTTGCAGTACAGGGTTATGAGTGCCTGTTCCACAGGTCAAGGTTAGAATTACCAGCATAAACTTATTGTGGTGTCAGCACCTAGTAGGGGTTCAATAAATATTGGTTTACTAAATGGCAACAGATTAGTGGTTTTTGCTTTTAGCCTTAATGGTGGAAGTTACAAAATAATCCCACACTAGTTTGGAATTATATATAATAAAGGGTTATTTATTTAGGGGAGACTCACAGATCACAGTCCTCTGCATGAATGGGGAACAGGAACAGAGTCAAGCAGAAAGAAGCCAGAGCTGTGCAAGCTTTACAGATGCATTTATAGTATAGGAGACCACACCCAAGGAGGCTGGTATCTTAAAGGCTATTGGCTGAAAGGGCTAATGGAGCTCCCACAGCATTTCCCCCTTTTGTTTAAATAAGAGAGTTCTAAACCCAATACAAAACTATGTACACTAGGAACAGATATCAAGTACAAGATTAGAATTACAACCAGCATAAACAATATTAAGCAAGGAACATAACCTACTGTTTTAATAAACATTCTATCCTAAGGAGTCTAAGTCTTGCATTGGAAAAGGCTTGGCTAGATCATAAGAGGATGGTAAGTACGACTAATCTTCAACCCCATTGAAGGCCTGAAAAGAGAAATAATATTACTTGAGTAGGCAGGAAGTGCAATCAAGCAGCTTCCAAAATGTGCAGAGATAACTGGCTGCCTGAGCAATCACCCAAAGTCTCATTTGCGATGTTGAAGCAACCAACTTTGGCTAAGGCCTAGAGTAACTGACAGACCATTTTCAGAGGCAAAAATTTTTTAAAACTTGTCTTGGCAAGATTTGACAGTCTTTTTTCTTGTATCCTGCTTGTCCAGTCCAGACATCATGCATTTTGTCAGTGGTTGAGGCATGGGCAGTTTCTTTCCCAAAGGCCAGTTGTATCAAGAAGAAGACAAGCTCCTAGTGGAGTGTCTTTGGTGCTCAATTCTCTCTCGGGAATAGATCAGTGCTGCCAGGAGCAATTGTGTCTCTCGTCAACAGAATCCTAAGTTATTTAAATGTCATGTACTACAGATCTTTAAAGTGGTTGAAGGTTACCAATCGATGCAGAATAAATCTCTATGTATCTAAAGAATCTAGTTAGTCTGACTAAAAGTATAACAAACATGAATGACTATAGACCTATAATACTTAATACCTACATAACTTAAAGATTAAGACTTCAAATCAGAATATTAAAGTCTTTAAACAACTGTTCAGTAAAGGAGGACAATGACATCAAAATGTAAACAATGTATAAATATCTTAATCAGAGGTAGAAATATATAATGCAATATGATAACTATATCCTAAAATTGTATCAATTTGCCTTAAACAGAGATAGAAACATGCATGCATACAATATGGCAAAATAACTTTGCATAGGTGTACTGTTGATGCAGCTGCGGGCCGCATTCCTGCCATCTGGCTCCTGGCCGCCAGCTAGCTTATGCCCTGAAACAATTACATGGAAACTGTATTCTTTTAAACACTGCCTGGCCCATTAGTTCCAGCCTCTTATTGGCTAGCTCTTACATATTGATCTAACCCATTTCTAATATTCTGTGTAGCAGCATCACGAGCTGGCTTACCAGGAAAGATCTTAACCTGCGTCTGTCTGGAGTGGGAGAATCATGGTGATTACCTCACTCGGCTTCTTTCTCCCAGCATTCTGTTCTGTTTTCTCCACCTACCTAATTTTCTGTCTTATCAAAGGCCAAGCAGTTTCTTTATTAATTAACCAATGAAAGCAACAGATAGATACAAGACCCACCTCCATTAGTGTACAAATATTGTAAACAGAATTAACAAATATAATTTGAAGTATCAATATACAAGAAACTATATCAGTGTAAATTGTCCATAAATAATAGTTCACAAGTATCACTCTATTACTCATTATTATTATTATTAGTGTGAATAAGTTCACATTAAATTACCTATTATCTTATTCAATCTTTTTTTAATTGAGATCTCTAGGCCTATATAATTTCCACCCCAACCCCGAGCCCTATGTGAGTAATAATGAACCCCTAAATAGTATCTCTAACCATGAAGACAAACTTTGTTGGGAGAGGGGACTTTGCTTTCTAGAAATGCTTTCTACTGTCATATGGTCAATGCTTTTTTCTATGGGATCCCGTAAATGTAAAATGATGGCTAAGTTTCAAGATTGCTGTTTTGTATAATTATAGATGGTCTCTGAGTAGTTGATAGGGTCTTTGTTTATTTGTTTTGAAGTTCTTATTTGTAGTTCTGGCCAAAATGTAAGAAGGTACACCATTTCTGCAGCTGGTACCTAAAAACTGGTCTCATAGTAGTGCTATTAGCATCATGATGTTATATCTACCAGGTGGAGTCATTGTTGTGGGGTCCCATCTTCTTCCTGGAAGCTTTAAACATTACTGCAGGAAAATCTACTGCTCACTGTGGAAAACTTAAGCATTATTTATATAGACATATAGTCAATGAAAGATACAATATAAACAAAATGGGCATGGAGAAAAGTATATTTCCTTAAAATCTATCTTCTTCCTGTCCCATACCAGATGGCTCCTGACATGAGACAGAAATTCTGAATTTTTCTTTGAACAACGTGCTTGGATTTAGAGAAGGATAGTCATTGTCCAACTCCAAAGCCAGCTCTTATTTTTAACTAGAGATGTATATATGTCCAAATAATCAAATTTTACCCTGCAGATAATACAGCATCATAAGG